TCACCATACCCACACACCCCAACCACACATCCCACACACCTCTACACCCCCCACCCTCCCCATACATGCACCCAACAGTCCTACAACCCACACCTCAACCACCCCCACCCTGCATACTTCCCACTCCCACACCTAGATCCACACTCCACACACACACCTCCCACACACCCCCACCTGCACCATACCCCCCAACCACTCACACAGCCTCCATATAGCCCCCTACCCCATCACACACAATATACAAACAACCTCCCACACACACCCAAGGGGTACTTCTTGGGAAAGTGGAGAGACTTCTGGTGGAAAGGTCAGGGGTTAGGGGGTGGGATTTCTAGTCACAAGATGGCAGCCAGGGGGCAGGGCACTGGTCAAGGGGTGGAACTACCCTTGCAGGCCTCAGCCCTTGATGCCTTCCCAAAACTTGTTAAGTGGCCCTCCAGCCAAAATAATTGCCCACCCCTGGGTTAGGGGAACAGCCAAGCGTCAATGTCATTATCTGCTTCTCTCTCACACCTGGCTTATCTCCTCACATGGCACTCTTCAAAGGATCTCCCAGCACCTTGGCCGAGAACTGTTGGATTACAGTGGTTGTTGGGTATTTGTGCACTGTGGGCCATTTGCCTTGTTCTCCTCTTTTCTCACCTCAAGACATTTGTGTACTCCCTAATCATAAAACAGAACAGTCCCCCTAATCAGATCAGAATTGTGGAGCAATGCTAATTTATTGGAGCTGAGGGTCTGACTCATAGTCTTGTATTTAACGTCCTTGTCCAAAACAGCAGAATAATAAAGATTTAATGCAGGGCAGCATGAACTGTGGTTCCCCCACTGCCATTCTGTTTTCCTGTTCAGAATCTAAAACAGTGGTTCTCAACCTTTTTGGACTTGAGGCACCCTTTCATAATTTTTGTGAATTGATTGACACCTAGTCTCAAAATCGAATCTATATATCACAGTTCTTACCTCCTTGCAGAGGGGCCAGGTAGTGGGAGTGGGGGATCATTCAAGCAGGGACAAGCCTGTGCCTGTGCTTATCTACTTAGTTTATCTGCTTATCTCTTCTCACACCTTGGTATCTTCCTGCATCCTGCAAAGGATCTGGTGGCACCCAGATCTCAACTGGCACCCTGGTTGAGAATCACTGCTCGAGAAGTTGCGCTCTTGCTAAAGAGGCTGATTCTGCTACCTGCATTCTCCAAATTCCTGTTAAGCCCATTGGGAGCTGCAGGTACACAAAGCAACATGACTGACTTATTCCAAATTTGAATGCTCTCCAAAAATTATACAGCAGTCCATTTTTATACATTTTATATAGAGGTATCAGCAATCGGAAAAATGAAGGTAGGCAGTAGTAAAATGAAAAGGTTATACTGAGGTGAACTTTAGCTCTTAGATTCTCTCCACTTTAAAGTGACACCAAAATCTACTTTGCAGCTTAATCAGAAGCCATGTTTTGCACACTCTACCTCCATTATGCAACTACGTAATCTTAACCCTTGTTCCCCTTTTCCAGTGATTAAAGTAGATTGAAGGAAGAAGGAAAGCTCTTGCTAAGACAGAGCTGTGTGGGAGTACTTTGTAGCTAAGCCAGAAATAGGAAATGAATGCCCCTCTGCTGTTAGAAAAGGAAAGGAGGCTGCTTGTCTTACCTCTTCATTTGATCTTCTTACTCTTGTTATATCCCCTGGTGCACGTTATCCCCCATATCCTGCAAAATCTGCAATCAGGAGCCCTTTCTTATTCTGTGTTTGTTGAAGTGGCTATCATGGAGGGAGGAGGGCAGTTCTGACTAGGCCTTTTTAACACATGATCCTGTTTAATCAATCTAACTTTGAATTTAGTCCATCACTTATTTTCTTTAGGAAATAGGGGAAAGTTTTCTCAGACTTGTGGTTCTTGAGAATCAAAATGTTGTGAAGACCCTGCTAGTTCCACTGACTTCCATCTGGTTTACTAAAACCTACCCACATCACTGGGAAACATCATGAGCATGGATTTTAGATTTCCATTGCCAAAATGTTACAAGGCTGCAAGTATTTAATAATTCCTAGCATCAGGCTCAGTGTTGCTATCTCTGCCATTTTATTGTAAATTTCATGGTATTGGATGCTTTAAGTAACAGTGTAACTCCTGGAAGTGGGCGATTTACAAGAGAATCTTGGCTTTTATTTAACAAAATATCTAGTCTTTATGAGTCAGTCAGCGTGACCACAGTAACGTTAACTGTCTTCTTTTTTAAAATGTTTATTTCTCTAAAATCTCGATTATCTTAAAAAAAAAAACCTCATTATTTTCAGGGCCCAATTCATGATTTCCTTAATTTTTGGAGTTGACAGTATTGCAATATTGACAATCTGCAATATCCAGATTCTTGACTATTATTTAGGCACCAAATTTTAACCACAAAAATTCAGTAATTTGGATGTTTATCAGTTTTCCTGAATTTCTTCCCCTGCAATATGGGGATAATTATATTTTGCATCCTCATTGAGATGTTGTGACACTTAACTTATCCATTGGCAAAGCACTATGAAATCCCTTGAAAGGTGCTAAAAATGTGAAGGGTACTATTTTTAAAGTGAATCTTAGTGTCATCTACAGTATCTTCATTCTCAGTCCCTAAAAGGTTTCTGTCATTTTCTTAGTGTGTTGCCCCCGCTCAACCTAGTGAAGCCTATTGGTCCTTAAAATCCTTATTGGAAAGCTGATTGGTCATATCCTCATTTTATTTGCTAAATTGCAGTTTTGACAACTGAACAATTCTTTTCTATTATTACTTTATCATGTAAGGAACTGTCATAGCCACAGGCATGTTAGACTACTGTAAATGGGAGGGGAAATATTCATAGACTCTGTGTTAACATGTGACTCGTATAATAAAAAATGTGAGATTCCTATGTCCTGTCTCATGTCAGTGAGAGCTAGGAGAGCATACACTCTCATTTGAAAGGAATTAGCTATTTTTTATGGTTTTCAGAAAGTGTCCATATGAACATGAAGACTTTTGTTGCCTTCCTTTGCAGTATCTTGGTGCTTGTGCTTAATTTCTGGAATCTCATAAACTGGTTCTCTCACTCCATTGCTGCAGATTGCACAGGTGTGTAAGAAACATGACACCATCGGTCAGGACTTGGTTGCCATGTGTGTCAATGACATCCTGGCTCAGGGAGCAGAGCCCCTCTTCTTCCTCGACTATTTTGCCTGTGGTAAACTTGACGTTGAAGTGGCTCAAGCTGTCATAGCAGGAATAGCTGAGGCTTGTAAAAAGGCAGGATGCGCTCTCTTAGGTAGGAGCACTCCCTTCCTTTGCAGGAATTTGAATATCAGTTCGCTGCTCATTTTCAAAACTGATGCTCAATGTGTTGTGTTCATTGTCTTGAAAGGTCTTGTACGTAAAGAAAAAGATTACTTGCTTTTGTTTTACTAAAAGAGGCTCTACCTACCTTCTTGGCAGATGGTATTTGATTACAAATACTATCAAGAGCTCAGTAATCTACTTTTAATAATTTTCTTTTAATTTCACTGTATAAAAATGAAAACTGCATAACATCCTTATGTGCCAAGAGTATATGGATTTGAATTCTTCTTATGTTCTTGATCTCTTTCACATGTTTTGGAGTGGTGGGGATGGGGAGGGCAGAGGATGACATTTTATTCTGGTTTAGTTTGGGATGCCCAGGTTTTTAGAAAATCAATTTAATCCAAGTGTGGCAGGGCACTGTTTGTGCCTGCCACTTTAAGGGCCCAGCCAAGCAGCCAGCAGGTGTTTGATTGCAGCAGCTATTTAAGATCCCTGGCTGCCTATATAAATAGATCAGTTCACTGCTGGCAGGCAGGCAGTAACATTGCTTGGCTGCAAGGCTGCTTGGAACATCCTGGAGGTAAGGGAGGAGCTGTAGGGGATGGCTAGGAGGCTCTTGGTCCCGGGCATGACCTAAAACTGCACCCTGCCAGAAGTGGGTGGCCTGGTGGGGCTCTGTGGCGCAGGAGTCCTCAGGAAATGCCAGGCCAGTTACCACCATGGTGAAAGGCGGGTCGGGGCGCCTTAACCCCAGCTCCCACAACTGGGTGGGTTACCCACTAGTAGGGACCAGATGGCGGACCCAGGAGAAAGAGTGGGGCTAGAGGCTCAGAGGCCTGATGTAGAGTGCCCTTGACTGGTCAATGCCGGGGCCAGGGCCAGAACAGTTAAAAGGGGCAGGGGCCCATCACAAGGGATGCCCAGAGCTTAGGGCCTGGGGTTCTGACTGGCCTTGGAGGCGAGGCCAGGACCTGTGTGGCCAAAGGTCCTGGGGGGACCATGCCCGAGAGCGGAAATAGTTTCAGGGAGCTAGGGAGCCTGAATGAAGGCAGGGTAGGCTGCCCGACTGGAGGGATCTTAGAGGGGTCCTGATTGGAGGATTCTGGGGCGCAGTGTGGGGGCTGGTGAGATTAACTTCTGTGGATGCTATCTGTGAGGCTTGGGCTGCAGTGTAGGGGAGGAACGGAGCTGCAGATAGCGCCCCCTGGCATCGGAGCAAGAAATGGGCAGCCTCCCGCCTAATTAAAATAATTAATTAATTAACAACAAGGCATGGCAGGCGAGAAGGCAGGGGGTTGGCCCAGAACAGGTGGGTAGGGCATTGGTAGATCAGTCCTGAGAAGGCCCCCTGTTACACCAAGATATTAAGATCTAAATGTAATCATTTTCCTACTTTAACTTCATAACATACTAGATGATATATTTTATTAACAAATAATGAATGCATTCTATTTTTAATGTTTAAACATTTAATAAAAGTATTACATTGGTTCACTTTAATCTTGTGACTGTTTTACAATATAACGTTTAAAAGTCACTCAACTCAAATTCTCTGTAACAAAATAAAACAAACCAAAACATCAAAAAACACCCCCACCATCTTTTAATTTAAAAAAATGCTCTATATAAATCTGTACTTCAGAAAAGTAGTTGCATATAGGCTTATGTTCTAATACAGAGAAATCACAGAATTGTTTCCACCCTTAGTTCTTTTTCATGGACCTTGAAAAGTAATTATCTTTCTCCTACAGCTGAAAAGTTAATTATGATGTTTCAGTGCAAACTTATTTGCATAAGACTTTGGGATAGTCTTTTTTACTGGTGTGAACAAGGAGCAGACAGATAAAAAAATCCTTGCATTCAAATCCACACAGAAACACCCTGAAGGAAAAATCAGGGGCAAAATTAGGTGTATAGTGCTTGCAGTTAACCAGGGGTAGCCATTTTGCAGATACACTACTCTACTACCCTCACCTCTGCCACCTAGTGGCCAGACATACCTACTGCATGCAACTACTGTCTTTTGTTGCACTTCTGTCCATTGCAGACTGCAGCATAACTTATCGGTATGCTGCAGTATACCAATAAGCATATTGTTATAAGCAAGTTCTATAACATGTGTTGTTGGTTTTTTTTGTGTTTTCAGCTTTGATGTCTCATTTTAAAATGTGTTTATTTTCACCAGGTTGGAAACATTTCGATTAATAATCACAATGTCTTTCCTACCCTTTTTTTCCCTTTCTTGTTCCCCACAGGGGGTGAGACTGCTGAAATGCCTGGGATGTATTTGCCTGGAGAGTACGATCTTGCTGGCTTTGCAGTGGGTGCAGTGGAACGAAGACAGATGCTCCCTCAGCTGGAGAGAATTGCTGATGGGGATGCAGTCATTGGAATAGCTTCCTCTGGGGTTCACAGCAATGGGTTTAGCCTTGTCAGGAAGATTGTAGAAAAGTCATCTTTAGATTTCTCCTCTCCAGTCAGTGGCTCTGGTGACCAGACTTTAGGTAGTGTCTTTACTTTAAATAGCTCTTCTCCATATCTATCAGTGTCATAAATAGTTTCCAAACATAGCTTTTTCAAGGAATTTTTTAATGGCTTTACTACTACATGCATATGCCCTTCTCTGCCTTCTTCCTTTAAATAACTGCTGAAACAATTAAGGCTGAGGAGCAGATGAGTCAATACAGTAGTGTGTTCTGTTCTACAAGAGGAAGATAATGTGTTTTTTCTTTTCTCTTCAGTGTACTCTAATACAATTGTTGTCCATCTGTGTCCAGTAAAGGAATGTTTTACATCTTCCTTAATTTCTTTAAATTAACACTGCTGTAATCTCTCTTTTTTCTTCTTTTATATCTGAAGGAGAACTACTGTTAACCCCAACTAAGATCTACAGTAAGACACTGTTGCCCGTCCTTCGTTCAGAGCACGTTAAGGCCTATGCCCACATAACTGGAGGGGGTTTGCTGGAAAACATCCCTCGAATCCTCCCAGCCTCTTTTGGTGTTGTTTTAGGTAAGAAATATAAGGACAGTATATAAATCTAATAAATAGATTTAAATCAATATGGAAGTCTCTTGGCATGCTACAAAAGGTAGTGACTTGCTGACTTAAGCCTGTGTCCTCCTATTTAAAATACGGTTTATCTTTTCTAATTAGATCTTTATGAGTTTCTTCTTCCAAGTACTTTGTAGCCTTAAGATTGCAGTCTTTCCTCCCTTAAACTTGCTTCCCTTGGTCATGTTTTGGATAGGATTTATTTGTCTAAGGAACCCCTATCAAATAAGAAAAAATAATTTAAAGACAACCCAAAGGTGATTAGCTACCATTTTGTGACACACAAGATCAGCAGATCCTGAGCAAAAATATATGAGGTATTTGATTTGCTATATAATGCAGTTAGCAGCTCACAAGCAGAGAGTATGGACCAAATACTTTTGGTGCCTTTTAGACTTCTGGTGCTAGTTCTAACTCCTCACATCTCAAAGTGTTTTACATTTGTTAATTAATCTTCGCAACCACCTCATTGGCAGGTTTGAAAAAATCTAGGCACAGAAAGGCTAAGTGACCTGCACAGGACCTCACAAGCCAGAATCCCATTTTACTTTGAAAAACTCCCATTTGGACACAGTCATATCACTGCAGTTTTTTGGCAGTTGCATGCAGTTTGGACAGTTAAGTTCCCTGTGCAGATTGTTGGTGTCCAAACAGCTGCTGTGCCTGTGCAAGTAGGCTGTGCTCTGGCTCCATATGCATGTTCTGAGCACAGCCCCACAAAGTTCAAGAGGAGGAGAAGGACTTGTACAGCAGCACAGATCTGTTTGCTTCAGATGGGGGCAGGGGTGTTACCTTTCAAATTCAAAAGTGCCCATCTCTCACTTCATGTGTTCTCTACATCCGAGCTGTCATTCTTCTAAAACAGGATGTTTCAGAAGCAAAAACAGCTTCTGAAGTACCTAGAGAGCCTATACTTAATTACTAGGTCTGGGTTGCAGCTAAGTAACATAATTTCTTTCCTTCATTCCATGGGCTGAACTACATTTCTTAACACTCCTAGTCCCTGTTGACTGAGACACATGAACTAGACTTTAATCCTGCTTTTGTGCCTGGCAGCAAAAATTAGTGGGCCTTACATTGAACTAACCATTCTGCATCTATGCTAAATAATTTCTACATTTGTTTTAATTTTTTTAAAGCAAATTACAGTTTCAACTATTTTCAGATGCTCGTAGCTGGAAGATGCCTGAAATTTTTTCCTGGCTTCATAATGAGGGGAATCTTTCAGAAGAAGAGATGGCTCGAACATTTAACTGCGGCATTGGTGCCATCTTGGTGGTACAGAAGGAGATGGTTCAGCAAATTTTAAAAGATGTACAGAGACATGAGGAAGCCTGGGTGATTGGAAGAGTTGTCTCTGTATGCACAGGTTATGGGGGTTTCATTTACCTAAAACCTATGGAGCTCAGTTCCCTCGTATATACCTCCCAGTATAAATTGGTGCGACTTTACTGAGCTTACCAGAAGATACTACACAGCATTTGCTATACTGACATGCTGAAAGAATAATTTCAAAGGCTGTGTCCAGACAAGCATGGACATGCAGTATCTGTAGCACCACACATCGCACATGCAGGCATTCCCCGCATTGCTACCTTGCAGCACAGGGGATTTTTTTTGTCCCCGGTGGATCTTGGGGTCAAAAAAACCTACACCCCCCAAAAAACAGACCAGCGCACATGGCAGCAGTGCATGCTGCCCAAGACCAGAGCCTGGCCTACTGGAGCCACACTCTGGCTGCCAGCCAGGCTCCCAGCTGCAGGAGTGCTGTGGCTGTATCTCCTCAAGGCCCCTAAGACCCAGGTAAAGCTGCTGGGCGCAGCACAGTTGCTGGCCCCAGCCTCTCCTACGCCACCCAGGGTAACCTGCTGTGTGCCAGAGCACGGGTGGCACAGGTGTTCCCTGGGGACAAGTAGCATCAGCACAAAGTGTGACACTGCTATTTGTCCCCTGGGAAACAAACGTCCATGCTCGTCTGGATGAGGCAAAAGACTCCAATTGCAGTGTATAGAAAATGTGCTTAGCAGTGTTTGATAAATGATCTTCAGAAGTTATAAGATGCTGCTACTCTAATTTTCAGAAGAACTGAATGCCTTTTAAGATCTACATACTTGTTTTATTTACATATAACATTTTTCTCTTTTGAATTAAGACTCTGCCTGTGTTAAGGTCAATCATCTGATGCAGGCCCTACAAGCAAACAGGTCATTGTCTTTGCACAGCCATATCCAAGGCAAAATGCAAACAAACAAAGTGAAGGTTGCTGTCCTCATCTCTGGAACAGGTGAGATCTTTGCATTCCACACTAGAAGACAGACAGCTGCTGAAGAAGGCAAATGGGCCTGATCCAAAACCCTTTGGAGTTCCTGCTAGTCTTTCCATGGACTTGAGCGGGCATGCCATCAAGCAGGGAAGATGGGTTTTGGCTTACGCCATTCTGAATCGGCTACAGTGTGATTTTATGCTGCCAACTGGTTGTGAAGTGCACCTCTGTTGCTTCTGTCTGCCCACTTTTGTAAGTCATCAGCTTCAGATGATCAGTCACCACTCTGCATCATCACAGGGACTGCAACATTATCTTGTCAAACAGAGACCAACATTTCCTTCTTTATTCTGTAGACATGACAGGAAGACCTACAGTTTATAACCATTCTCAATCATAAGAAATGCGCTAATGTTCATACACCTCCACAGAGTGTGTTTTATGCAAATGCATCATTTCATGGCTTATCAAACCCTTCCAATCCAGTACTTGCTAAGTCAGTAGGGGTCTTTTCACTGAGCTTCCCAGGGCTTTAGATTAGGCCCCACCTGCACCTACTCATTATTAAACCTTGGCAAAATGTCATATGTATTCATTCTCCAGAAATGCAGAGTCTGCATTATTTATTCTTGTTTTTTAGGTACAAACCTTGAAGCCCTGATAACCAGCACAAAGAAGCCCACCAGCTATGCACAGATAGTCCTTGTTATTTCAAACAAAGCAGGGGTGGAAGGGCTGAGAAAAGCTGAAAGAGCTGGTATTCCTACAAAAGTAAGCAGCTTTTCACCTTTTTTATTTGATTTTACTCATTCTTACAGCAGTAGAGGAAAATAAAATTTATAGGGCAGAAGCCTGGCTTGAACACAGGATGGAAAGCCAGGAATGTCAGAGTTCTACTACTGGCTCTGCACTGGGAGAGGACTCTGCCATTGGGCAAATGATTTGTCTTTTTCTGTGTCCATTCTCTCTTTGTATAAAATGGAGATGACAATATTTCCCCATCTTCTGTTTCAGAGGAGTTAGTTGTATTAGTTACAGTAGATATCAAGAAGCACCTGCCATAGTAATAGCTGCAAAACATTTAAAATGTTAAACTCTTCACCATACACACAACTTCTAAAAACCTTCATCTTGTGAGCTGAAAGTTTCCATGGTTCACCTTTCCTGTAATTATTATTTTCTTTAGTTTGAACCAAGGCCTTTCTGATGTTTCTAAGATCAGTGCTGCTGAGAAAAATACATTATCTTTCACAGACTATCAAAAATGGCTGCAATTTAATATTTAGTATGGAGATAGTTCTTTTAAGTTAGTGAATGTGTTTGGTTTGCAAAAAATATATGTTTAACATAAATTATGAACAATTAAAATGTATGTACTGAGCAGGCTCTGTATGTTATTTTCCTGAAGTTTACAGAGGCTAGATCAAGTGCAACAGAGATGATGGAGTTTCAGCAAGGGGCACTGTTCAGGCCCCAGGTATTAATTCAAAGCCAAACTGCATTCCCTCCTCTGTCTCGGGTCCCCATTCTCTGTTGATTTCCACTGTCCAGTCACGTGCACCAGTGCAATGCAGATATAAAATGCTCCTGGGTTTTTTTTACCATTGCTTTTCACTGATATGAATGACTGTATATGATAGAGCAATGGAGAATCAGGCCCAGTGCAGATTTGGCCATTATCTTTAATGGAAGCAGTATCTAACCCTTCAAGATAGGGTAATCACGATTGTGATTTTGGATGATGGTAAAATATAATGGCCTCAACTAAAACTGGGACTCCATTGTACGGGTCCAGTACATGTAAATAGTAACAGACAATTCAGTCATGAGGAGCAAACTAGATGATGCAAAATAGATGAAAAGTCTTGCTGATGGTGATGCAGTCACTGTAACTTCTATACATTTCTAAAGTGCCCATCCTTGTAGAACCCAAGTTAGCCAGACTTTGTGTTTGACCAGAATGCAGAGTTTAATTGTTTGACGGTAAAGTGAATTCATGTCTGTGTTTCACTCTTAACTATTGCAGGTCATTGACCATAAACTGTATTCAAGTCGCACAGAATTTGATAATGCAGTTGATAAAGTTCTTGAAGAATTTTCAGTTGAACTGATCTGTCTTGCAGGATTTATGCGAATTTTATCTGGTCCTTTTGTCAAAAAGTGGGACGGTAGGCATGTTATTTTAATATACACTTACAAATGCAACAAAACATTAGAAATGTGACCAGCATTGAATTTAGCAAGTCAAAAGCAAATAGATGTTGGTCAGTTCATGTAAATCTAAGTACATTGTTAGCTATTTGTTATATTTTTAAAAGGTTACAACACTGCTGGAGGTTTGAAGGGAGAATCTCTCTCCCCAAAATATATGTAACTTGAGTAGCTTATTTGTGGAGGAGGTGGCTGGGGGCTGAGAAACTTCTGAATGCCTTAATGGTACTTCAGTTAATGACAGCAGTAATAGTTGTATTCCATTAGCTAGACAACTAGACATTTGGTTAAGAAAGTGAAGATATATAAAGGGATTTGCTCAAAGCTTGAAGCTGCAGCATTTATTGAAATAGCTTAAATTGCAAGGCCATCCAATAAATGCTCTAGTCTTTAATAATTGTAATAAGATCTGAAAGCACATACTTTGTGCCCTGGATACCAAAATGATTTGAGCCCATGTCTGAGCTCTCCAACCAAATGATACTGGGGAGGGACATGCTTTATCCATGGATTGGCTTCATGATAATGTCTTCCCCCCAGGCCAGCATAGCACCATGACTTCCCTTAGCCTCACCTCTTCCCAAACCCAGGCCCAAGTTTGAAGTAAGACACTCCTACAACTGACTTCTACCATAATGGCATCTCCTTGCAAATCAAGTCAGGCAGCATGCGCGTGTTACAAAAAAGTCTATTTTAAACAAGGCAGCTACCTGTGTGCTGGTCTTCAAACTCACACTTCCATTGGTCCCATTGTACCAGTCAGCCACTCTCTGGGACATACTCTTCAGCCTTAGCTGCAGGCACTACAAGAAAAGCTAAAAAGGAAAAGTTAGAGTAGGACCAAGATAACCCTGGGTTTGTCAAGAAGCCAGGGTTTTCTCACCTCTCATAGATGCATGAGAGAAGGGGGAGGAGCTAGCACCTTTCCCGAGTTAATCTTTGCATTTTGACTTTGCATTTTGGGTTTCTGTATGGTAGGGGTGGAGTGGATAACCCGTTTCTGTGCAGGGGGTATTAGAGAGAAATCCCTCTCACACTGAAATTACCTGGCAAAAAAACCCAAGTCCATTTCTGTTGATTCAAGAAGCAAAGTGCTCTGTGCTGTTTCTGTTTTCTCTGAATGTCCGCTGGACTTCATCCACAGTTCTGTGTATTAATAAGCCTTCATATTTACATGCTGCATTTTAATCTGAAAGATTCAGAAGCATCTGTGTCAGTCTTAATGCAGACTGAGCAATGTGCGCTGCAGTCATCAACAAAAATTTGACCCTGGTCAGTGTGTGGCACATAAGAACAGATTAATCTAAGCTGGTATTTTTGCCCAAACCCAGCCTGCTTACACTGTTTCTGCTGCTTCTGATGTCCTCAGTGCTTTTATCTCCTCCTTTGGTAGCACTAGTATTTTGGAGCAATAAGCCCTGGAGTTTATTCACATACACTAATTGCGCCCTGTGTGTTTGTTTCAGACCAGCTAGGACGATCAGAGTTTCTTGCTCCCCAGCACACTGTCTGAATGTGCGCCCAGGAGCATATAATTCCAGAGCAATTAGCTCTGGAGTTGATTCATGTGCAGCACGTAGAGTCTAGCTGAAGCACCCTTAGCTGGTATGGGACCCCAGGGTCAGCCTGCCAGCCTGGGGCCCAGCCTCAGTGTGCTGTGGAGGGACTCGCTGGGCCATGAAGGTTTAATGCAGGGCTAGTGAACAGACAGCCCTAATACTGAAGTACCCCCATGCCCTGGCCAGCTGGGTCAGCATCTACATGTGCACTGTTGCACAAAAACACTCTGCAGCAGGGTAGGGCTTGTAAATATACGTCCTACCTTGCAATGGAGTTTATTAGTGTTGTGTGCCATAATAGAGGTGCGCGTCTAGACACTGCAGTTTATTGTGCAGTTTATTAGTCAACTGCAATTAGTAAACATCTCCTGTAGAGCAGCCACAGAGGAGGAGATGGAGAGTAGAATTCAGTGTGAAACTCTCCTGTTTCATTTAGGGCCTTGGAATGTTGACCATGAATCCTATCAGAAAGGATGAGTAAAGAGCAGCTTTCTGTAATGCAGCCTCAGAGGAAATAAGGGGATGCAGGCACAAGTGACATGTCCTTTTCAGTGTATTGTTTTTGGTGTTTTGTTTACTCAAGGAAGAAGTAGTGTGTTGCTGGTGTAGTGATACTGAAGAAAAGCCTTATTTGAACAAAGCAGACTAGAGATGTTATTGATTTTTATGCCATAAATCTCTACCACACTCCATTTTTCGTTTTCGCATTCAGCTTTTGTTTTTGCATTTGTGAATTTTGGGGTTTTTTGCTTATCCTTTACCATTCTTGCACATTTTAATTGGTGTGCTGCTACACCAACATGAGTTAGCCCAGAATCTTGCTGCATGGCAGTCAGTGTAGCACACAAGTTACACTGAAGTAGCATAGCATGTAATGCTGCATACAGTCACTATAAGATGCTCAGTGGTCATAAATGGTCTAAAAGGCTGTTATGTTTTCCTTTTGTCCAAAGAAGAATTTTTAAGTCTGCTCTAAATTGGGTGGTAGATCTCCTGCTGCCATAAATGGCCATGACTCCCTTGACTTCAGTCTGGGCCAAGATTTCCTGGGCAATTTATCACAGGCAGAGTATTCACTTATTAGTGATGGGGAGGAAGATTTTTAAGGACCAAGGAAAGCCTGAGGGTCTAATGTGTATGCAAGCATATGATTGCCCCTTTAAATTTTGGCTTGTACCCTAGGCTAGCCAGGGTGTGGAATGATTAGAGAGCATGTGCTCCTGGGTGCAGGAAAAAGGGGGAGATCCAAATCTGCTTAGTGTACTAGCCTGGTTCCAGCTGGCTGACCATAAGAAGGAACTTCCAGTTCATTTTTAAATAGGGGGGGGAAAGATGTGTGCATGTGGTTTGTGGAAGGGCAGAGGAGCACTCCAGTGTAGGCTACTTCTCTTCTGTTAAGCCAAAATAAGCCACAGTCATTGGGAGAAAAAGACTGGGAAGAATTCTCAGTCCTTTCATAGAAGTTCCTGTGAGGCTCACTGTATTAGAGGCAACTTTTCTAATGCACTCTGGCATAAGAGAGGAAGAAGAAAACAGGATGCTGGGAAAAGTGTGTGCTGAGAATTTAAGGCGCTGTAAATAAGCATCGCAGTGATTGTTGGGACAAGTGGGCTATAATTAGTTACTCATGTTGATTAGTTCCTAGCTTTGGTCAGTTAAAACAGTAAGGTAGAGAAATGAAGACTCCCAAGAACCTCTTGGGTTGGTTATCTTATTTGTTGTTAACGCTTGGTTTTTCATATATAAGCTTTTACATTTCAAATGTGAAGGACAGCAGTTTTTTCTTCCCTGTTGTTAAACCAATGTTGCATAGTGATAAGGCCTTTACTCGACAGTTAAGCCTGTGAAACTAGGGCTGAGAGCTTAAAAGTGATGCATTTCATTTCTGCTTTTCTAGGAAAAATACTGAATATCCACCCATCCTTACTACCTTCTTTTAAGGGAGCAAATGCCCATAAATTGGTATTAGAAGCTGGAGTCCGGGTCACTGGCTGTACTGTGCACTTTGTAGCCGTAAGTAGCTGTAGCTCAAAAGTATGCAGCCAACTAAGATCACTTCACCTTATGTCTTTTACTGTAAGTGTACAAATAATGGGGGTAAGATTTTAATTCTTTACAATATTATTGGTAACTGGAAGGAACAGGAAACTAACACTGAACTAGAATTGAGACTGTAGATACTAGGGTTTTTCCCTCCCCTAGCAGTTAGTGTTGTTGACAACACTAGTTTAGTTCCTCCAGATGCAGTAGAGGAGGACTAATTTAAGCAAGACCCTGGTGATCCCCAGAAACTGATGCATAGAGCAGCTAATTCTTGTAATTTTATCTCAGGTTGCTTGGTATTTAATGCTTTTTCTTGCAGCTCAAATGTGAACTGAATGATTTAAAACAACGTTTCTGGCCTTCCCACTTGCTCAAGCAAGCTCAGAAACTGGAGATCAGATTAATTCCAAACTTGGGAGTGTACCGTCTTCTTGGTATTTGTGCAGAATGCAAGCCTGCTATTTGATCTATATTTTTTTTTCCTTGTTTACTTAGCTGGGACATGGAAAACAACTTTCTCAGCTTTCTGTTGGAGACTATTCCAGACTCAGAAATACTGGATGTGTCTTCATCATAATCACCCTACTCTTCCCTCCCCTCAGTTCTCTGCACCAGTGTCTTTCTTCACTCCTCACATAATATTATACTGTCACAGGAAAAAATGATAAATTTTGTCCAAGGTAATGAGATCAAAGAACTTTCCTACTGCTGTGCTGCTTTCCATTGCATAATATGCTGTGGGTTTTCTTTTTCCAGGAGGAAGTTGATGCTGGGGCTATAATCTTCCAAGAGGCTGTTCCAGTGAAGGTTGGAGACACAGTGGAGACCTTATCAGAAAGAGTAAAAGAAGTTGAACACAGAGCCTTTCCTGCTGCCCTCCAACTTGTGGCCAGTGGGGCAGTGCAGGTCGGAGAAGCTGGCAGAGTCTGCTGGAAGTAGGAATAATGCAATTGAGAAGGCTCCTGGACACAACAATGGAAAACATGGAACAAGTCTACTAAAGGAACAAATCAAAATGGAGGACAAAACCTAACAAGCACATGATTGCTTTTATTCTGTTCATAAAGTGCGTAATAGTGTAGGATCTCCTAGGTCATGCCAGCAGGATTTCCACATCCTTTTTCAAGTGCCTAAAGATCTCAACAGAAGACACAAGGGGAAGCCAGAAATGGGGAAGGGGAGGGAGGTTCCCACTTGCTGGGGCTTGTAGCTGATAATGGGGACCATCATAACTTAATTATCAATGCTTTTTCTGCCAATTTTCATATCAGTTCACCTGACTCTGTTAGTCCCATTTATCAGGAATGTGCAAAAAGTAAAAGAATCCAAGAGAGCTAAGCACCTCAGAGGTGCTTCAGAAAAGGATCATATAAATTAAAGCCTGTTAGTCAACAGATTTTTGGCAGTCTTAGTTCTTCTGTCAGATTTGTTAATTTGTGCTGTCAGAAGTGTTTCAGAATAAACCACTGGAGCCAGTAAACTAAAGGGTAGTACCCAAGTTGATGATGGAGAGAGGTTACAAAACAAAACAAAAAATCCTAGCCAGAGAAGACAATGCTTAAAGAGACTATAGTAAAAGATTTCTCTACTGCAACATGGATTTTTTAGGCTGAATTATTCTAACTAGACTGTAGATGATGGAGCTGCTATCTGGCAGATGTCACACAGCATCCTTAACATCCAGAGGGAATACAGATATGAAATGGGAATGCTAAGGGAAGCTTAGAGTCAAAGGGGTTTATTTACTTTGGGGTAGGATTAGATATGAAATGTTTTCCTGTGCTTGGTAATATTTATGTGAAATTCTTTAAATCTAATCTTTGCAGATCCACATGTTCTGACAAAATTATTTTCAGCTGAAATGTCCCCTAGTTATTCTCAGAAGCATTATTGGAGTTACTAGCACAGTTGAATTTTTACCTAAGCACCTCCCTTGTTTTTAATGTTTTGAGTATCAATGCAGGTGTTAGGAGCAATTTAATTTGCTCAAGTAAATCAACTTTTCCATAAACTTAGAAGCACCTTATTTCAATTGATCCTGTTTAAAAAAAGTAATTTAATCCCACTTAATTACATCAAAAGCTGGTTTTCACATTGTACTTTTGATATTTCTGTATTTCAACAGGTTTTACTTCTGTAATTTCAAATCCAATTTGAATAAAAGTTAGGAAAAAACCCCAAAAACTAATTGACATTATTTGAATCTTTTCTTGAGATTCTTCCCCCAAGGACTCGTCTTAAGGGTTATGGACCTTCTCGTCTCAGGGCACTTTGACATGTGCTCCAACGTGTTCTGAACACAACGTATCGGAGCAGCCTTGATTAAATCAAGTGTGGTTGAATGTTCTAATCGGAATGCAGCATGCTGGAGCCGTGTCTCGTATTCAGCATCCCCACATTTCAAAATGGCAGCAGGAACACTTTAACTAAAGCTTGTCAATAGCTTTAGTTAAAATAGCGCCCCTGCCGCTATTTTGAAACGCAAGACGCTGAATATGCAAGATGCTTGTGGGTATTTTAATTAGAGTGGCTCCTGCTAAAACACCCCTCCCACCCCAGAGCACATGTATAGGTGCCCTCAGTAACCAGATAATGTGATGAAGAAAGTTGCTGACTTTCTGTCGTATCATGATTGATCATCTGGGGATAGGAGTCATGCAAGCACATACATGAAACTGTCATGGGAAATTAAATAGGTATGTAAAGTACATACTTAAAGCATTTTTTCTTGCAAACACTAACAATTGCAGAAGGGCTTCCTTCCTTCACTTGAATGCAGTGGTCCCTTGGCAGTTGCAAAGCTAGACATGAAAGTTATCTAGCCTCTCCTATTCAAATTATAAATATCATCCAAATGTAAAGCCTTTCAACTAGAATGCAAGGGAAAACTCAAGATGGACTAGCTTGTGGAGCTCTAAACATGGACACACGTCACACACCTATATAGATTTAGTATATCACACCTGGACGCTTCTACAAATAAACTGTTAACAGCTAGAGACTGAATATATACAGGAAAGAATTTCACTCAATGTTATTTTAGCTAATCTTTAGTAATGTACCTAACCAATAGGGGGGAATGTTACCTTGAAAGGAAGCATGTCTATCAGTTAGGATGCTGCCCTGGGCTATGTCTTTGTTCTGGCACACATTTCCTTGGGCAAGACACTTCAGGACAGAATTAAAAGGTACTTTGCTGCCTACAGGCAAATAACTTCAAAAGAGTTACATTACCCAACTTGCTGGGCCAGGTTCAAAAATCCATCAGGCACCTACATAAATTTGTAAGTCTGGCTCTTAGCATGTGGCCCTCAGTTGCTAGTCAATAAATAAGTATAGCCTACTGTGAAGCAGTGTTAAGGAAAAGTATTAAAGATCAGAGGTTTTTTTAAGGTACCAGGTGTCACTGTTAAAGCAGCCCGAGAAGCTTTTACTAGTACAACAAAAGCCATCTTTAATATTTTATTTGTTCACTGTTAAAATATTGAAAGAATAATGTACAATTCAAAACAGCATACAGAAGAACAGTACTATACATCTAAATACAACAGCAGCAGAAATTATGTCTGTTTATTCTATGTATACCAGAAGACAGTATTTGTGATAACACAGGGATAAAGAAAAAACACAAGCTTTTTCCTGCAATCACTACACCATTAAAAAAATGCCATCTTTTGCTCAAAGGAGTCAGTATACTTCTTGAGTAGACAATAGTTAACAATAAGGAATAGGGGTGTAGGCTGTAGTCATGTTGGTCCAAGGAGATAGGCAGACAAGATTATTTGGGTGAATCTGATATCTTTTATTAAACCAACTTTAATAGTTGGAAAAAAAAAGATTTAGTACACTTTTGGGTTTAAAAGCCCTCCGTCAGGTTGAGGAATCGTCTGCAGTTGGTGTGTGCTCTTCCTGGATGGAATGAATAGTAAGGAAGCCAAATGCTGGGCTGGTGTGCATGCAAGATGGGCAGTAAGTGAAGATGTAAATTGGAGTCAGTGGGTGAGAGACAGGCTGGGGGAGAGAAAAGGGTAATGAATGTAGCAGTTAAATAGTGGAGAGGTACCTAGGGAGTCGGATGTCAGGCAGGTTATATAACGTGTCATAAATCCAATGTCAATATTTAGTCCATGATTTTTTGTATCCAGGAGGTTGATGACGTGAAATTCATAGGCTTGTCTCTGAGAAGTGCTCCCTTTTGAGGATTAGAACTGAGAGATTGGAGAGAGAGGGTTTTCTTGTGAGAAATGTGCCCCAAACAACAATTGTGCACCTGAATGAATGCACACCAGAAATCTATCAAAGACAAGAATACCCAATTAGTGGTGGGGGCACGTTTCACAAGAAAACCGCACTCTCTCCAATCTCTCAGTTCTAATCCTCAAAAGGGAACTTACAAAATACTTCTCAGAGACGAGCCTATGAACTTCACTTCATCAACCTGGATACAAAGTCATGGACTAAATATAGACATTGGATTTATGACATATTATATAACCTGCCTGACATCTGACTCCCCAGGTACTTCTCCACTATTTAACTGCTACATTCATCCCCCTTTTCTCTCTCCTCTCCCCAGCCTGTCTCACCCACTGACTCCTCAATTTACATCTTCACTGACTGCCCGTCTTGCATGCACACCAGCCTCTGCCCTCTTTACTATTCATTCCATCCAGGAAGAGCACACACCAAATGCACAGACTTCCTTAGCCTGACAAAGGGTTTTTAAACCCAAAACCTTGCTAAACATTGTTTTTCTAACTATTAAAAATTGATCTAATAAAAGATATCAGATTCACCCAAAGAACCTTGTCTGCCAATAAGGAATAGCGTTCTTTTTTCCTCCTCCAGTGAAGCATGTTATCCACAACACAAGCATGAATGCAAAATTACAGGAGGTGTAAAACTCTTTCACTCTAAAATTTATAATGAAGTTAATATGGCTTCTGAAATGATTTGCTGCAGCCAAGAACCTGACATACAGTATACCCCCTATTAGTACAGTACTTGTAATCAGGATCCAAAACAACATTCATCCATTGAACCCTACTAGGTGTTCATGTCCCTGAGCTAAATCAATCAGTGAACCCTACACTGGAAAGTTCAGTTCTTATTTCTTTTTCAATTTAGCTAATAATTTCTTGGCTGACTTCCCTCCCCACTGATTTATTTGCACATGATCTATTATTTTAGCAGACAAAGTAAGACTCACACTTGTTTTTTTTATAAAAGGCCTTTGCACATTTCACTGCCAAACTTGTTGCCGGGTGGCTATCTGAGAACATGGAGATTTTCTTTGCCATTGTAAGTCAACTAGGCTGCCTCCTATTTCTGTATTATCTGCTATTTCCTAGCAAGAAACCCAGGAAATGCATTTCCAGCTCTTCTTTGCTTCCTTACCAAGATCCAAAAGGTTTTCACAATGGATGCTGCACTATTTTTGGAAAGCT